GGGGAGCCATGAGGCCGTCGCGGTCGATTTTTTCCAAGATGGCAGAGAGCTCGGCCTCGCCGGCTTCGGAGAGAATGGTAGGGGAACTGGTAAGATAGGAGAGGGCGAGCGGGTAGAGCTGGGGCTCCGAAGGACCGTATTTGTGGAGGGCGCGGATGGCGCCTTTGGTGTCCCGCGCCGAGGTGTAGGAGCGGAAGATGTCAAAGAGGAGGTTGGATTGTTCTTGCATTAGGACGGTGCCGGTGCGGAAGGAGGCGAGGTGCGAGAGGAGGAGGACGTTGGAGTTTTCTATTTTGGGGAGGGCGCCGGGGGTTGTGGGCGGTGGTACTACTGCTGTTGTTGTGGAGTCTTTGGGAGGGGAGGAGATGATGAGGGACTTGGCTTTGGATTCCCATTCTTCTCGGTGCTGATCGTTACCTGGCTTCTCGTTGGCCTTGTGGAGGTACATCTCGAAGAGGGTGGTGTGGATATCGATCTTGTCGGCTTCTGACAAGGAGTTGGTGCCCTCTTTGAGGAGGGCTTCCAGGAAGATGATGAACTCGTCTGGATGGTCGATGAAGGAAGAGAAGGCCGTTCGAGGCCGGGGAGGTGTGTAAGTGGGTGTTACCAGCCCTTGTGGCTTGACCACCTCGGCATCACCGACGGTTGGCTTGGTTGCCGTCTGGCTGTTTGACCCTACAGCCAATGGGTTCATGTACGGTAGTGGCAAGAGATTGCTGAGGTTTTGGACGGCGTTTGCAGCTCCGGTTACAAAGCCTCCCCCGTTGTTCGTGACAGGAGCGTCGGGAGACACGGCAGGAGGATCTATCCTTGGTTTGTACTTGCTGGTATAATAATCAACGAAGAGACGAGTTGCGTCCATCGAGCAATGTTCAATAAGCACGCGGGCGTACTTCATAAGACAAGCGTAGGCCTACTCCCGTTAGCTCTCACTTCACCATAACTCCTGCGATGCTGTGTCAGGTAGACTTACTGTGTCGGGATCCAAATGCCAGATAAAGTCGAGCGCATCGTCAAAAGCCTTGGAATCCTCAATAAGGATGTCAACAACAAGCTCGTTCTCACCGTGCTTCTTGGCAAGATATGCAGCTTGGTCGTAGTATCCTCCTTGCCTGCACATGGAGATGGCTGTGTCAAGATCGAACTTGAGGTCTCCGGGAGACTTGATGAATTTCTCCAGCTTGTCCACGTCCTTGAGCTTGGCATAGCAGTTCAACAACAGGGTGGTATGATCCGATGTCGCTTTGCCACGCTCATGAAGCTCCTCGAGATACTCAATAAGGTTATGTATCCTCTGCGTGTCCAGGAACTTTCTGATAACCTGAGATGGTTCTGTAGTATCGATCGCCTTGATATACTGGGTCATAGCCTCGTCGTAGTTCCCTTTCTGATAAAGGTAGTCGCCATATTTTCGGAAGATAATACATTGCTGATGTGCGTCCATGCCGGATTTCTGAGCCAGCTCAACGGCAAGGGTATAGAGATTTCGTTGGTAGAGCATGTCGAGTCTTTGCTGTAGTGATTTCTGGTGATAGCGGAATATCTTGGATACGTTAGTCTAGGAACGATTACAGGAATATCTGAGCAACCTACCTGGCCTTCCTGTGTAATGGTGAACAAGTCACCCCATATCTGAACAATGTGCTTGACATCCGAAAGAACAGACTCGCTGTGAGCAATGATCCTCAGATCCGGATGTATGAGCGTGAACGTGAAGATGCTATCGGCCGTAGCTCCCCAGAACCGTCGTCGCATGGTGTCCGACTCCCCAGTATTGGTGGGCGGAGAGACAAGAGCGATATAGTCCTGGTACACCGAGACCAACTTCTTGGGCGCTTCGTATGCGATTGGTGGCCCTCTTCCGTCTAGTGTGTAGTAGTATATTGCATCGTCCCGGCCGACGACGATGTCCCCGGTCTCCTTGTCAACTGACATGCACCCAACACCACAGCCCTGGTCTTCGACCGTCCTGGGTGGCTGGCCATGGCCCTTGCCTGAAATCGCCAGCTTCAGGATCCTCGACGTAGTAGCGATGAACAAGGTCGTAATGTTGGCATCAACGCGCAGCTCGACGCCCGTGATTGGCTCATCCGACTCGTAGATTATGCGCTGCTTCGTGCCCAGATCGTGGATCAAGTCGCCTCGGATGACAGTGACGGCGCCGTTCGCAAAGCCAACAGCCAGCTGGGAGAGGTCTTCGGTCGCGGTAAAGGCGGATATCGGGAACGGCTTCTTGCCATTGTTGATAGCAACGGTGCTGAGGCAAGTCGGGATGCCCGTCTTCTTGGCCGGTTTATCGAGAGCCCAGACTTTGAGTAGAGGTTGGTTGATGGCGTCGCTGGTGCTTGGTTCCTCCTAGTCACAACAACAGCAACAACATATGTCAGCCTGGCATGCTTCCCCTCCAAGACAACCAAGCAGCGCGTGTAAGTCGCAACAAACGTACAGCAACGGTGACTAGCAGACTAGTGCCCTCGACCTGGCGCATATGGGTAATGGGCCCCGTCTCATACGCCTTGAAGGTCCGGACGATCTTCCAGCTGCGCCCAACAATGTGGACGTGGCCATCGTAGGTGCCGAGGAAGAGGCTATCCGAGCCGGAGCAGACGCTGGAGATGGCATTGCTCTCGAAGAGGGCGCGTGTTTCGTCGTCGGCGATCTTGATCTTGGTAGCATCGAAGAAGTCAAACGACCTCCACGTCAACGCCATGGTCGCATTTTCATTCGGTAGAATTGTTTGTTGAGGTTGTCGCAAGGAACGGTGGTTGGATGAGGGCAGTGGGGGAAGCTGTTAGAGGAGCCTCAAAGGTACCTAATCGGGTTGGTTACAGCGTGGGTCAGTGACGACTTGTCTGCAAGGGTCCGTTGGGAGCTTCGGTCGGTTGGGATCTCATATAAAACCCTAACCCTTAAATCGGGACTCTCATATGCCCCTTGACGATGACGACTTACAAGTAGGAGGGACTACGAGACCACAAGATGAGCCGTATGCCATGTGATATGTGCATGTCTATTGTACAAATCTCCAGCTGTATACGTCCTGATCCTTCTCCTACTGACAACGACATTCCACTATAGCTACCTCTCGGGATACGGTGAGTTTCTCTCCAGTCGAGTAGCAGTCGCTTGTACAATCATACCATCTCCGTCGTCACCCTCCTTGACATCACTGCAAGGGTTATCGAAAGTGGTTCCCGGGAAACACCTTGTTCAGCCACTGAGAGATGCTGTTCAGGGAAGAATCAGACACCTTGAATGCCTGCCCGGCGGTAGCCGACTTGAGAACTGTCGCCCAGTCCTTGATCTCGTACAGTTTAACTGCACTGCCATCTTCTGAACCCTTGGCCAAGGTCTGGCTAATCATTCCATCGTATATGTCCCCGTCCATAGCAGAGCCTTCGTACTTGAGACCAGAAACATTGGCGGTCTGAAATTCACCATGACGGAGGGTAAACTGAATATTGAACTGAGGCCGAGTTAGCGCTTCGGTATACAACAGAGAGCACATCTAACTTGGTGAGAGTAGGCTGCGAAGGGGATTAGGAAATAAACTTACGTCTGACTGTACCTCAAAGTTCAGAGGTGGGCGTTCCCTTGGGTCATCTTCGGTTGGGCGAGAAGAGAAGGTGAACTGGGGTGTTTGGCCGTATATCCACGGAATAGACTATCGAGTATGAGTACAAGTCACCGACAATGTGAGATGGATTATTAGAGCATCTTATGCTTACCGTTAACTCGTCCATACCCTTGCGGATATTGTCCATGTCTTTCACGTCCTCCTCCCCAATACCTTTTACTATTACATCTTCACCACACTGCTCTTCGTACATGGCGAGGAACTCATCCACAACGCCCTTCGTGAAGTCCTCCGTGTCGACATCAACATTCCGAATTGGCGATCTCACACTCTCCACACCCCTGGCCTTGATGTACGGCTCACCAGGACTTCTCAGGAATTTGCCAATGTTCTTCAACCGTGGGGAGTTGAGAAGACATGTCCCATGGTGAAGTGATCTCAGCCTGGTAAGCTTGTAGGCGGACCCAGAGACCTTGAAGATGTCCTGTCCGTTGCCCCTTCCGTCACCGGCAATAACGATGTCGTGACGCTCGTTAACCTTGGCGGTGGTAACCCCTAGATCCTTGAGCGCCCGGACAACCATCTCGGCATGCCTGTCTCGGTCGAAGACAGCGGGTGGGCAGATGACGCTCCAGTTCACATTGCCATGGTCATGAAAGACGGTACCACCACCGGAGCGGCGACGAACGAGCTTGATGTCCTCTGCTTCTTGCAGGGCAGGCAAGTTGACTTCAAGCCATGGATTTTGGTTGCGTCCAATGACAACGCAAGGATCGTTGATGTAGAGAAAGAGGACGTAAGAGTCTGGATGTGAGTGTTGAAGGAGGTGATGCTCGATAGAGAGGTTCAGGTATGGGTCCTTGGAAGTGGACTGATAAACCTGGACCTTTTTGTCCAACAGATCCTGGCTGATGGTTGTGCTATAAGACCGGCGGGGTTTGGTGAGAAGACCGAAGCCATGACTGGACAAGATAGTCGTGGTAGTGCTGATGAAGGCCGGACCCTTTGTCAAGCAACGGATGCCACCGGTTGTGTTGCGCAAAAGCACGGCGGCCATCTTGGAGTGTCTTGATGTCTACTGACTGGCGTCAGTCTCACTCATCCCACTCCGTGAGAGCCGGCCTCGGGTTGTTGAAGACAGAAAGAGGTTGCCATACTGACAAGACGACGAGACTAGAGGTAGACGGTTCTGACGAGAAGTGATCAAGGCATCCCGGGATGGTCTTTGATCCACTGTACATAAATCGATGTCAAACAGCAAGACGGGTTCCAGCGGCGTTGTTGACGTCCCCCCTGTAGACCGGCTTCAGCTTCAGTTTCATCAGCTTTTGCCTTACCCAACCCTTGCCAACCCTGGCAGTTCCGGACGGAACACCAAAAACCCTCCGTGTCGGCGACCGAAGATATGTGCCAGGTGCTGTGGTCCGTGCTCAGATCTGAATTCAGTGCAGGCAGGGGACCTCGCGGGAGGGCCGATGACGGCGTACGAGGGGCATCTCTTTTTCTTTTTGGTCGATTCCGTTTCATCGCCTGATTCAAACTTCTGGAAAAAGACTTAACCTTTGACTCTTTAGATCTGCAATGTTATTTTGTATTTCTAAGGCTTACCATATTGAATACATCATCAATCACCAACATCTAGGTAGCGTGTGCGTAGATTACATAGTTTACACGACTGGCCGGAACTTCCATTTTTTATTTTATTTTCTGTGACGGCGATTTACAAAGATCCCTGTCTGAGTCACCACATCAGGCCCGCCACCGTCACGCCTTCTTCCATTGTAGCTAACAACTTGAAGGCAATTAATTCCATTGAACTTCCTCCTCCCTCCGCATCCTCTCCGAGCCATATCAAACCACCGTAACCATGTCTACCTTTGGCCACTATTTCCGTGTCACGACGTATGTCTACAAACAAACCGCAATGCCAATTGGCATCCAACGTTAACAATCCAACAGCTATGGCGAGTCGCACTGCAAGTCGGTCGGCTGCATTGTCGATGGCGTCCCTCCCGGCATGGAGCTCACCGAGGACGATATCCAGCCTCAGATGACCCGCAGACGTCCCGGACAGAGCGCCATCACCACCCCGAGAAACGAGAAGGACAGAGTCATCATCCAGTCCGGCACTGAGTTCGGCGTCACTCTTGGAACGCCAATTGGCATGCTGGTCATGAACGAGGACCAGCGCCCCAAGGGTGGGTTCCAGCTGTTACATCACAAGCCTCTTTGTTCTGCTTGCCGCTGACGCTGTTCTGTCCAGACTACGGTAACAAGACTATGGACATCTACCCCCGCCCTTCCCACGCCGACTGGACCTACCTCGAGAAATATGGCGTCAAGGCCTCCTCGGGTGGCGGCCGCTCCTCCGCCCGTGAGACCATCGGCCGTGTCGCTGCTGGTGCCATCGCCGAGAAGTATCTCAAGCTCGCCTACGGTGTCGAGATTGTCGCCTTCGTCTCCTCGGTCGGTTCCGAGCACCTCTTCCCTCCCACGGCCGAACACCCCAGCCCGAGCACCAACCCCGAGTTTCTCAAGCTCGTCAACTCCATCACCCGCGAGACCGTCGACAGCTTCCTGCCCGTCCGTTGCCCCGATGCCGAGGCCAACAAGCGCATGGAGGATTTGATCACCAAGTTCAGGGACAACCACGACAGTATCGGCGGCACCGTCACCTGCGTCATTCGCAACGTCCCCAGCGGCTTGGGCGAGCCTGCTTTTGACAAGCTTGAGGCCATGCTGGCGCACGCCATGCTCAGCATTCCTGCGACCAAGGGCTTCGAGGTCGGTTCCGGTTTCGGAGGCTGCGAGGTTCCCGGCTCGATTCACAACGACCCCTTCGTCTCTGCCGAGAACACCGAGATCCCCCCTAGCGTGGCCGCCAGCGGCGCTGCTCGCAATGGCATCCCCCGCCCCAAGCTGACCACCAAGACCAACTTCTCTGGTGGTATCCAGGGTGGTATCAGCAACGGTGCGCCCATCTACTTCAGAGTCGGCTTCAAGCCTGCTGCCACCATCGGCCAGGAGCAGACTACTGCCACGTACGATGGTACTTCGGAGGGTGTTCTCGCCGCCAAGGGTAGACACGACCCCAGCGTGGTGCCTCGTGCCGTGCCTATTGTCGAGGCCATGGCGGCTTTGGTGATCATGGATGCTGTTTTGGCGCAGCAGGCCAGGCACACTGCCAAGAGCTTGCTTCCTCCCCTCAAGCAGACCATCAACTCCGGAAAGGACACCGTAGGAAACGGTGTTTCTGAAAACGTTCAGGAGTCGGACCTTACGCAATAGGCGGATTTACGATTGTAGGAAAGGGAAAATGTGATTAATGTTAAAAGTTGTTTAAAGGGATTTGTCTTTTTGTGATACCGGTAGCTAGACTCTGTTGGGCGTGTTTCTTGTTTCTTTGTACATGATTGAAGGTCTAGAATAAAAATGCGTTCTTGTTCATCGATACACCCATCTCAACCCCCACTATTGAACTCGGTTTAATCTGGATAGACAACTGCCATTCTAGACCCTTTTCCATCCAGTCGTTACATGCGATGGAGATGCCGTTGTCGCGGGGCGGCCCGGCAAACGATTTCCCCTGCAGTATACCACCGGCAACGCCAAGTCACATGAGATGGCGCCGTAACGATGCGCTAACTGATGAGCTGATGCGGGGAAAGCAGGGGGGATCCAATGGAATCCCGAAGCTATGCGACGTCACTTGGCGATTGGAGCGTTCGTGTTCCGTCAACTTCGACAGGAAGCTCTGGCGGACTCCCTTCCCATCCATCCATCCATCCATCCATCCCAATTCCCTTTTATGTCTGTACATAGTTATTAGTCCTTGGTCCTTATCATTCTAGTCTCTCCTCCCAATTGATCTTGTTTGAATGGTTGCAAAGATGTCGAGATTCGGTTCCCTTCAAGCCATCCCCCGACAACTGCTTCGGACCTCGGTCCACCTTCGTGCTGGCCTTCAAGGTGCCCGGACCACCATCCGCAGAAGCTATGCGACTGCCAACGACCAACGCCCATCCCAACCGACTCAGCCTACATTCGATAACCGCGTGAAGATTGTGGAAGTTGGCCCTCGTGATGGATTGCAGAATGAAAAGAAGTCGATACCGCTGGCGACCAAGATCGAGTTGATCGAGAGGCTAGCAAAGACGGGACTCCAAACCATCGAGGCCGGTGCTTTTATCTCGCCCAAGTGGGTGCCACAGGTCAGTCCAGATTGTTTACTTCCCCTTTCTTCCCACCATGTCATACCCCCCTTACTCTACTAACACTCATGCCACCGAACAGATGGCCAACTCTGACGAGATCCTCGAACACCTCCTCAAGACCCCTCCTCACTCCCCCGTCCCTCTAACCTTCTCCTTCCTGGCCCCCAACACCAAAGGTCTCGAGTCCGCCCTCTCTATCCTCGGTAAATACCCCGATGCCTACGAGACGGAAGCCACCCGCTCCGGCAAATCTGCCCAAGAAGGCGGTAAGCCGGCCCTTGAAATCGCCGTCTTTGCCGCCGCCACCGAGTCCTTCTCGCAAAAGAACCTCAACTGCTCCATCGACGCTTCTTTGCGACAGTTCAAGGAAGTGATCCAGCAAGCCAAGCAAGCCCACCTGCGCGTGCGCGCTTACATCTCGGTCGTTTTGGGCTGCCCCTTTGAAGGCTACGATGTTGACCCCCACCGCGTAGCCACCATCGCCACCGACTTGTTGGAAATGGGCGCCGACGAGATTTCTCTGGGAGACACCACAGGCATGGGCACCGCTCCGCGCACCAAGGAGTTGCTGAACTGCCTGTCTTTGGCGGGAATCCGCAACGAGGACCTGGCGATGCATTTCCACGATACCTACGCGCAGGCGCTGGTCAATACGGCGGTGGCGCTGGAGCACGGGATCCGGACGTTTGATAGCAGTGTGGGCGGGCTGGGTGGGTGTCCGTATAGTCCCGGGGCGACGGGGAACGTGGCGACGGAGAATGTGGTGTATTTTATGGAGAGCTTGGGCATGGATACGGGCGTGGATCTGGATCGGGTGGCGGATATTGGGGATTGGATCACGAGAGAGATTGGGAAGCCCAATGATAGCGTGGTGGGTAAGGCGGTGTTGGGTGCGAGGAAGAGGGAGAAGAAGGAGGGTGGCGATGCTGAAGCTCCCCAGACGTGAAACAGGCACACTGATGTTATGATGTATATATGGGTTATGAAATTGTATGTACTGTATTCATAGTATTCAATGGACACGGAGTTGGTTGGTCTGAACGTCGAGGTGCGCAAGTTTGCTCAGGGGACTTATGTGGACGAGGAAACAAGGACTCAAGAAGTGGTTGACATCGACCCCAGCCACCAAGAGCACATATACAGATAGCCGGCAGACTGCGCATGAGAACGTATGAAAAAAAAAAAAAAAAAAAAAAAAAAAAAACACTGACTTGAGTGTTGAACTCCCTACGCTTTTAAGGTTCCCGTGACTTCATCCCAACCGCCTTACATCATCCTTCCCAGACTACAGCCCATCCTCCTTCGCAAAAGTATTTGCTACAATAAACGGAAACGCCGCCGTAGCCTCCATATATACCTTGACCGCATCGGCCCCGACCTTGATCTTGCCCCAACTAACCGCCTCATCCGGTCTCGCGCCCGCATCGGATCCATCAAACTCCTGCGCCGTATTGATATACACGGCGCTCTCGGCCCCGTTCCTCATCAGACACGCGTTCGCAATGTGATGCTTGACAATGCCTCCTCCCAAAATGATCATGCCCGCCCTCTTGGCCCGCACCGCGATGGTGTTGATCTTGCGAATATCCTCCACGATGTCAATCCGCAGCTGCTTGGGGCTGGCCTTGAACGTATGGAAATACAGCATGTCGCCTAGACTGCCGTCGGTGAGGGCCGGGCAGAACACGGGGATATCGTTCTTCCAAGCCCAGTAATAGACGGAGCGCTCATCATTAATCTCCTTGCCCAGCCGATGGATTACCTTACTCGGCGTCCAGTTGATCTCGTTTTCGGTGCCCCTGGAGGCTTCCTGCTCCTCCAGCATCTTGTCCAGAATCGGCACGACCCAGTCCTCAAAGGCGCAGTAATTGGAGTTGGGCACAACCAGGTTGCCGATGCGGTTGAGGCCCTTGGAGCGCAGGTCGGCGCCCGGCGCGGAGAAGGAGGACATGTACGTGTCTCCCAAGCACTTGATGAAGTCCTCTTCGATGCCGCCGGCTGTGGTCACAATGGCAGACACGTGCTTGTGTTGGACCAGGTAGCGCAGAGTGCCGCGCAGGCCGGAGGAAATCAGGTTGGAGGTGTAGCCGAGGAAGATGGTGGTCTTTTCGGAGGTGGTGGGATCGCGGTAGGCGCGCTGTAACGGGGAAGTGAGTGAGTGAGGGTTAGTCGTATTTCCTCGTAACTGTACTACGGGTTGTTTGTGAAAGAGAAAAAAAAACAAAAAAAAAAAAAAAAAAAAACTCTGTTACCATCTCGTTGATAATCCTCACGGCTTCACACATGGACGAGGCTTGAAAACCCATGTGCTTCATCCCTTGCAAAAGGTCGTCGACGGTGATGGGCCGGCCCTTGAACTTGTTGAAGTCAAGCTCCTCAACCTTCTGAGAGCCCTCGGGCATCTCGATGGATTTGACGAGGACTGCATCGGCGACGGAACTTGGAATCTGGTTGTCCGCCATTTTTGCTGTATGTGATGTGTGTTGTGGTGAGGATGAGTCGGGAAGATGAGGGTAATGAGATATGTGTGCATGTAAGTGAGGTAGGTAGTGTGGTTCGATTGTTTTACTTTTTGTCCCAGGTCACTAAAACTCCAAAAGTTTCCAAAACGGGATGCTGGGTCGAGATCGGTAGTAGTGGAGCACCTAGCTAGGTACAGTAAGTAGGTAGTGTACATAGATGGCCCCGGTAAAGCTGGCCGTTTCAGATACATACAGAATTGCTGGTAGAAGATACAAGAACACTTTCAATTCTCATTGTTTCCTTGCGTCCCGCAAACGAGCAATTCTTTGACACGATCATTGTTATTTGCCAATGCTGTCAAGAGTTTTTAGGCGTTGAAAGTACCTAGGTAATCTCAGCGCCCTTGGATTTGCCTCTCGAATTTTTGACGTGGTATTGCTCACAAAGTAGTGCTTTAAAGTTACTTGTACGTACCTTGCTTCTGCAGCTCCCTCACGCTCACAAAATGCTCCAAACCCCATGCGGGACTTTGTTACAATGCTTCTTACATGGAACATTTGCAAGCTTTCCCCTCAATGCGCTGCCTGTGCATATGTGGTGCGTTCTGCCGTGATCTGGAAAGACACCGCAAGAGAGTGCGAGAAGTTGAACCAAATGTCACATGTTGGGCCCTGAGTGCTGATTGGGCGCAAGTATCTGCAGCGGCGGTACCAACGGCGGGGCGAACTTTTGAGTGCCGGTTGTGTACATACGCTACAAGGAAGATGAAATGTCGGTCCTCGTTCGCGAGCTGTCAAGAATCGATCCATTCTTGGTTTTGTCCTTCAGTCCCTTCAACGGCCAGTCTATTATATATCGTGGTCTTTATCTTTTCAACCATGATAAAATCCGGGCTCGTCCGGCTCGTAGTGTAGACGGCCAAGTGGAGACGATGATTTGGTCCCTGGATGTCGACCTCGAAAATGATGAACGCAGCGAGTTCAGTTCTGGCCGGGGGGGGTCACAGACCATGCCTAGTTTGGACGGATTTCAATGTGGAGATGATTCAACGCCTCTTTTTTCGAAGAAGCTCGGACCATCAAAAAAAAAAAAAGCCAAACGGAAATGGCTCATGCGCGGTTCGCGGATGGCGGGAAGACTAGACCAAGAACCAAAAAAGAATCATGTCTTGGCAAGTTAACTTTCAAGAATGCCAATTTTTTTTCGTCGTTTCGTGCGTGTCTTCCACAGCCTGGGGCCGCCAATCAGAGGCTGAGACATGGAGATCCGCAATTGTGCATTTTGCATTTTTGGTCAACTGGCTGCACGAGCCCACGGGCTGCACATCTTGAGACTGCAGTCATGCTGGGCGAATCGGGTTAGCGCGGTTCGCAACCGCCCCATGCTCCTCGGGCTTCAATTGGGCTTAGTAGCGACTCAAGCTCGGGGGCGCCACCGGCCACCCAACTCATCGACAATTCACGGGTACGTACCGGTACGTATCGTTCGCTTCGGTCGGTCTGTGATGAACGTGTGAGGTGGCAGTGAGCGACATCCATTTGACGGGGAATGAACATGAAGCATGAGGACGGATGGATGGGGGACCGGGAACGGTGTATTACTGGACTTGGCGGCCGCAGGGCATTTTGGGCACCGATTGAATGCCAAAGATGCAAGCAAAGGGGGGAAACCTGGAATACTCTGGTACATATGTACAAGTATGTAGTGTACCAGAAAACTGAAGAGTTTCTTGGCCGCACGGACCCCTTTCAAGATTCGTGGTGCACGGCAGCGTTGAAAGAACGACGGAACAGAACCTAACGAAACGGGAACGAATTTGAGATCCACCCGTTTCCCTTCTCCATCC